ATCCTCCTGGCACTTAACAGCATATACAACATTGCTCTGTTTGTGCCGGGGCACCGGATCTTTGGGGTGAACCAGCCTTTGCCGTAATGTGTTTTGGGATTTGAAAGCCACTGGGACATCATGTTTAGAAAATAAACTTCTCAGTTTCTCCGAAACACCCGCAACATACGGAATAACCACTGGTTTGGGTCTGGGTTTGGGTTTGAACAGTTACAGTACATAATAAAAGCCAAATCCAAAAAATTAAACAATTAAAACAAATTTAAATAATCTCAAAACAAACTAAAAATCAACATCTCAGATGGTGCCAAAAGCCAAAGAGGAGAGATGGGTTTTAAGTAGCGTTTTAAAAGCCAACAGGGACATGATCTCTCTGATGCCCAAAGGCAGGTTGTTCCACATCTTAGGAGCAGCAGTGGAGAAGGCACGACCCCCTCTAAGCTTACGTTTAGTTGTTGGGATTCTCAGGAGCAGCTGGTCTGCTGACCTGAGAGAACGGGAGGGGCTATAGGGGTGCAGTAGCTCAGTGAGGTAAAGTGGGACAAGACCATTTAATGCTTTAAAAACAAATAAAAKAACTTCAAAATGAATCTTAAAATGAACAGGCAGCCAGTGCAGTGAGGCTAAAWCAAGGGAAATGTGCTCATGCTTTTTTTGTGCCAGTTAAAAGACGTGAGGCAGCATTCCAACCATCATGTTAGTAGTATACATAAATGGTTGTGTAGATATTGTAAAAAGCAGAGAGAAGCCATTATACATAATGCTTTTAGGTAGGATTATAATCAACCTGCACTCGGTAATATTTCGTTGGACCACCTTTAGCTTTGATTACAGCATGCATTCACTGTGGCATTTTTTTCGAGTGTGGTTACCCTCCGAAGTCCGACGTTATTTTGTTCACACATCTGTCCCAGTAAAGCGCCACAGTTTGTGCAGACAGATTTCTCCAAGCATGTCTGTTTTATCTCCATCCAAGAGTTCTTGGCTGGTTGACTGTCTATAGTGTCTGCTTCTGGTTCCGATAAGTCTGTTTCTGGAAGAGTAAACACCCCCATGAGCTTCTGAGCAAACCTCTGATCAACCCCACAGTTAAGTGCTCCCTGCTGGTTGTGACAAGAGGTGGATAAGTCAAAGCTGCAAACTAAAAGACGCAATTTTCGTCTTGAAACCRTAACAATGACGGCCAGTTTTGGCAATTTGGATGGAGTATGTGGAGGCCTTTACAAAATCCTCAAAGCGGGACGTCTGGGATCTCACTCTTTAGGGTGGAGGCACTTAAGCTCCTTCTCCATTTGCAAGCCTCACTGTTCAGTTTGTTTGGTTCTGCTCAGGTGTTTGTGTCTCACTGTGTCCCTCACTCTGTAGGTGTGATTGTGAGTGAGCCGTCCAAAGTGGCTTCAGCTGATGTGGTTAAAAAAAAAACTGTTGTTTTTATCGTCCGGTAGTGAGACTTTATCATTTATTGTTGCGGAGCTGTTTGTCAGGGTATCCGCGGGTCCTTAAAAAGTCTTAAATTTACACATCTAAAATTAAGGCCTTAAAACGTCTTAAATTTGATTAAAAAAATGTGCAAGTTGGTCTTAAATTTGTTACTCAAAGGTCTTAAATTTTGTTGGGCAGAAGTGATTAAAGTTTTCCGTCTCTCCCAGCTGTCTCTGCAGCGCATTTCCTGTTGAGAAAAGAAAAAAACAAACTTGTGTTGTGATGGATTAAGTGACGCTGCTTTCAACCAATAAAAAGAACCAGAGTCACAGTTTTAGCCAATCAGAGCAGAGTAGGGTGGGTCCTGCTGTCTGAGCGGATACTGCAGGTGAGGTAAACAGAGTGGATCGGACTTTTGTACGTACTTTTTTTTTCTTGTCTCGACCCGCTACCAGAACCATCCGGCCCGCATGAAGGTAAAGTTATGTAATAAATTATTAAATGTCTAAGCATTAAATGTATGTGTTCGCTTGTAACCAGTTCGCTGCCGCCGAGGAGATGCTGAGCTGTTAGGCCGTTACTTCAGCCCGTCCTCCAGAACCGAGCCCCAACCTGTGTGGGTCTTTTTTATCTGAAGTCTAACTTTGTGTTAAACGCCGGGTTAAATGTTGTTGTGTTCAGAGCGTCGTAGTTATTTTAAAGACGTGCAACTTGCACGCGCTGAGGTACCCGAGTACTCCTACCCACCCAGAACCGAGCCCCGACCTTTTGTTGCTACAGAAAGCGCACCGGGCCAAATACACTGGAGCATTTTATATTACTGTGATACGTAAACAACACGTGCAACTTGTGCGCATGACCAAACTCTGGGTCCGAGAGAGCATGTCACAGTGGGAGCGCGCTCATCCTGTGTGTCTCGTGACAGAGAAGTTGTAGTTGCTGCATTTGTTATTAAACATTTATTAACGCTAAAAGATGAATATTTATAGACTCCAGTAGAGCTGGGCGGTATGGCCAAAAATTTATATCACGGTATTTTCAACATTTACACCGATTTGACGGTATTTTTCTTTTCATCACAGCTCAGCTGATAATAAAATGTACAAACACTGCTTATTAACTTTTTTCTTTTACTGTACCTCTGTCTGTGTCGCTGTTTCCCTCCTCTATGTATCTTTTCTCCTCCTGGTTGGAGACAGTAGTCACGCATTTTGGTCCGGTCGTGAAGGAGGAGGGTTGTGAAAAGTTTATCGGGTCTATTGTTTTATATTATTTAATAAAGCTTATCGGCACAACTCACCTTGCACACCAGTCATTTCCAATTAAACTACTTTCTCCAGGCTTTTCACAATAGAACCACGTTAAGTCTCCATCAGCATAA